TTTCTGGTTTAAATAAAATGCTTGTAGCAAAAAATTATTGGATATAAATATTGTACATGAAAACGATAGTAAGATGCCAGTGACTGCAAAAAATAAATGTGGGTATTCTTGTATAGATTAAAAAATATTTTAGAGGACTAGCTACTTGTTCTTCCCCAGCATAAACACTACCAAGTTTTCTTCAATGTTTTGGAATAGTTTTTCAGATTCATATTTTTAATCAGTTATAAAATATTTCCATTCAAATGGCCACTGCATGCAATGCTTTTGTTTTTGAGCTTCCCACTTGCCTGGCAGGTGCTGTACTGCTGACCCCTGGGTAACGTTTTTGTTAGTCCAAATATCTAGGTCTGACAGTAATAAAGTGGACAGATTCAAGGTTAATTGCTACCCAGAGAAAAACCTATTTGCAAAGCTATAAACCTGAATTATGTAATCCACATTTACTATTCTAGGAAATCAGATCAATTTTTATATTAACCTAAACATAGTAGGATTAACAAAGAAAGTCTTCTGATGTTATCAAAATCAACAAATTTCTAAACTAAATATAATTGATTTTAGGAACATTTACAGTTTGGGGTTATTTATATGCTGGATATATTAATGGTTAATCTAAATTTTACTATTTTTCTGAAATTTGAACAAAATTAAATCTTACGTTCTTAAATTGTCAGAGACACAACTCTGATTATTTTTAAATCTGTGATTCTCAGGGGGCATAGAATTCCCCACAAGAAACTAAAGAAATTCATACCATGGTGAGAGTTTCTTTCTATGGCTCATTGTCTCAGAATATGGGTTTATAACACGGGAGGATAAAAATCAGAGTACAAAAAACTGATATGTTGATCTCTTCTACAACAATAAAATTTACATTCATTAATTTGCTGATTTCATAAGCAGTCCGATAGCGTGTGGCACATAATGCTAAAGACGTATTGTTTTTATTTTTACAGAATCCATCCCAAAGCAACTGCTTCTCCAAGTTATTTACAAACACGAGCTCTTAACTACTGCTCCGTAGAGGACTACTGTGAAACACGTCCACATCTGTCCATTTTGCACTAACTTGAAACCTTATTCTAAAGCTTAAAAAATGTGCATCTAGTGCAATGATGCGCTCTTTTAATCCCAGGACTTTCGGAGGCTGAAGCAGAAGGATTTAGAGTTCAAGACCCACATGGGCAACTTAGTGATGCCCTGTGTCAAAATATAAAAACTGAAAAAAGGCCAGGGTGTGTGTAAGTGGTAGTACACTCCTGGGTTGGATACCTGGTACCATTTTAAAAAGAAAAAAAAAAACAGACAAAAAAGTGCAGTGTATGTGTGTGTGTGTGTGTGTGTGTGTGTGTGTGTGTGTGGTGTGTGCCAAAAGAAAGGAAGAAAACAAAGAAAAAAAGTACCTAACAAGATAGAAAAACTGGAATTTATTAGATTTCTTTTATTTCATACTGTCTCTAAACTGAAGAATTAAGTAGCAAATTACCATTTGGCTGTATTGTATAAACTCCATTCTCTGCCCTTCTCTAATTTCTATCATTTCTGGGGCACACAGCTCTGTAAACCATGTGACCAAGAAGTTCAGTTCTGGTCTTGAGTGAAAACTGCTTCAGGTATGCTTACTAGATTATAAAACTGAGTTGCTAAGTAAAAGTGTGAGCAATCAAAGTTTCTCTTTATGGCATGTTTGCCATCCCCCTTTGGAAAAGGGAAAGAGAATGATGAGAAATCACACCAAATTACTAAATCACCGTAACAGGTACGTGTTTCAGAGGTAGCAAACGCACGGCTGTACAACACACATGCGATATTAACATTTGGCTCTTGGAAAGCTCTTGTGTGATGAAATAAAAAAAGACGTAACTTTAAGCTCTGTCATGCGATCTATAGAACATTATTTCACCTTTAATACTTCAGTTTCTGGTCTTATCAGGAAAAAAGCCACCACAGACTTAGCATGAGGAGGATAAAGGAGAGAATGAATATAAAGACCTCTGAAGTCATATAACCTGTATTAGGATCATGGGTTACAGGGTCTTGGTGAGACATTTAGTGTCACAGAATTCAACCTCCTCATTTTTAGAAGCAGAAATAATACCACTGTGCATCTCATAGGTTTATTGTGAAGACTGAATGAAAAATAAAGGATTTATTCTAGTGCCAAGCACAAAGTAAGGTTTCATTAAATGCTAATTTTTTCACTTACCCTCAGTTGTCAAATGACATCTTCTCACTTTGCAATCATTATTAAACTCTATCAATTTAACTTCTATCAAATACTCCACTATTAAAGTTTAGGAATCTAAGGCAAATTTCATTTTAAACTTTATTCTGAGGTTCACTTTTTGCAGAAGTTAAGCAAAGTACCTAGGTGAAGCGCTTTTTAAAAAAAATGAAATGAATTTCCTAAGATGATCTCTTTACAAAATCTTTTGCCACTTCTTTTTAGCAACAGGAAAAATGTGTGAAGTACAAGAAGAAAATATCCTACATATATTGTTACTACTAGTATTTTAATTACTATTAATATTCTGGTTTTCTGCATTTTAAAGAAAGATCATTCCATTCTTTCTGTAAAGATGATGTTATAATCAGGGTTTGCAAGGGAAAGGATTTAATACAAAACTCATGGTTTATAGAATTACTTTATAATATTCACCCCATGAGTCAAATGCAAAAGAGTGCAAGAGACTTGTCCACACACTAAAAACCCAAAGAATCAAGCTGAGGGCCCGGAGTCCAGCTGGAGGCTCATAGCCCAGGACACTGTCTCTTACAAGTCTATTTCAAGGATCTGCACTGGGAAGGCACAAAGGTCAGCGATGAAAGCTAGAAAGTCTATGCCAGCTGGATGAAGGATCTGCGCCAGCAGAATGAGAGATCTGCACTGCAGCCAGGAAGTGACATTCCAAGACCAGAGCTCCCCTCAAAAGCACGGCAGCCGTCTTCAGCAACAGCAAGGTCCAGGCTCTTCCAGTGAGAACAGCCGAGTTTATATTAGAAAAGCCAGCATAACAAGACTCTCCAGGAGAACCAACAGCACACCATCTTCCCCTCCCGTTCTCTATTTATGCTGTTGGCAGCAATCCCTAGGTGGGCCCTCTGCATCCAGGGCCACACTGGTTCAGCTCAGCTGGGTGTTACAGTCCACAATCAGTTATCCTACCCACAGATGATATATCCTGATAAGAGGGATTAAGCAATTCAGAAAATTTAAAATTTTAAAAATTACTTTAAGCTCCATTACCCAGAAATTACTAATACTGATACTGAAGTCACATATCTGCATTATTTTCTGTACAACTATAATGAATGAACACTTGTTTGTACAGATGGATGGATAAAATGGATAAAAAATTTAATTTCCCTTGACTTTCATAAAAGAAAACAAACAAGTTAACTAGAGAAATTAAGCAATTTAGAAAATTTAAAGTTTTAAAAATTACTTTAAGCTCCATTACCCAGAAATTGTTAGTATTTTATTAACTGTTAAAGTGTCTCTTCCTAAAAGAATTCTGGAAGGCTTTATGCAGGGGGCATATGAGACACTCTAGCATATTAACAAAAACTGTCATATTTAAAACCCTACAATTATCTACTTTAGTCACTACTATGCTTGAAAGACATTAAAAGTCTTTCCTCGACCTTTCAATGTTTAGTCTTTTTATCTATATATTAAGATTTAACTATATTTGCTCTTTGTCTTGTTGCAGTAACTTAATTATTCCCTGTTAGTTTTATCCTAGGATTAATTTGCTGTTAACCAGCCCATCATTTTACCTCTTACCTGTCTGTTGTTCTTAATCTACAGAGTCTTTCTCCTACCCACTACCACCACCATCCCAGTTGCCAGGTTTTGAGATGTTTTGTGCGGTCTACCTACAAAACTTTTAAAAAATCTTCGTATTTAAAATCACAATCTGTAGGCTATAACCTCTAACAATTAAATCAGACTCCCTAGAGAAAATGCCAAATAGTTTTAAAAGCTCCCAAGGTGGTGTCAGTGCTTGAGAACCAGTCTTAGATTATGCTCCTTTCATTCTTTGGTAGCTATAGATGATTTTTAAGAAAGAATTTGCTGCCCTCAAAAATCACCCCCCCCCAAAGTCCTTGTTCTTAAATTCTTTTTCTTATGTATGATACATTTTTCTGAAACTTCCTTCTGCCTTTCTCCTCACTCAGTACATATCTATTTATCCCAGGCAAACAGAACTAAACAAAACCTCTATATGCCATTTATGAGTCATAGAACAATTCTCATTTTTAACAGGAATCAGTCTAGATTACTGTTAGCCATATCCAGATTAGGAAAGGTATAAAGTGACTTGTTCAGCAAACATTTGTGTGGTCTGAGGTCACTGATCGTTCTCTTCGACACCCCGAATGCCCACACGTGTGTTCGCGGAGCACGGGGAGGGTGGGAAGAGGAAAGACTGCACCTCGGCCGTCTGCATTAAAATAGCGACGCGAGCGAGGGCGGGGCGGAGCGGGGCGGGGCCGGGGCGGGGCCTCGGCGGCGGGGCGGGGCCTGCGGGCCGACCGGCGGTTGCGCTGCAGTCCCTCCAGCCCGCGGCGCCGAGCGCTTGGCGGCGCGGCGGTACATGGCCCCGACGGGAGGCGCGGCGCCCGCACCCGGAGCTCGGCTCCCCGCCCGAGCGCGGCGGCCGCGCTCCGCCTAGCGCGCCCTCGCCCCTCCGGCCGCCCGCCCGCCCGCCCGCCCGCGGACATGCCCGCGTAGCCCTTCCTGAGCGGGGACTCACTGGAAGGTCTTCTTCATGGAAGCGATGTCTCCCCAGCAAGAGACCCTCGGGGGACAGCCGCCGCGCTCCTCGTCCCTGACCGGCGTGTCCCGGCTCGCGGCGGGCCCGGGCACTAAGAAGGTGAGCGCGCCGAGCGAGCCTCGCGCCCCACGCGCCCACGCGCCGCCACGCGCCGCCGCAGCCCCGCGCAGCGCGCGCCCCCCGCCCGGCCAACGCGGCGCAGCGAGGAGGCGGCCCGGGCCGGAGCGTTCGCCTCGGCCGCCGCAGCCCTGGCGTCTCGGCCGCGCGCGTGCCCACGGCGGCTGCCGCGCGGAGCTCGGGTCGCGCTGATCGTCCCTCGGAGCCCCTCGCGGCTGTCGCCGACGCGCCGCTGCTCCCCTTCAGGCCGGCCGCGGAACCCCAGCCCCTAGCATTAGAACTGTAATTCGCCTCCGACGAACCCTGCAGTCCCGTCTCCATCTGCCGCTGGGTCCGGGGGCCCCGGCGCTGGGTCCGGGGGACGGAGGTCGCCTCCCTCCGGCCCAGCACATGCCGGGCCCCAGGGTCCCCCGAGGTGGCCCTGGCGGAGTCAGCACCGAAGTCCTCGGAGCTGGTGCTACCTGCCGCGGGAGCGGAAGAAGGTAGGCGCGAGGCTTCGGCGCTGGCTCTGCCCCCTCACCTGGCTGCAGAGGCGCAGCTGCTTGGCTCACTCAGGAGGAAAGAGGGTTCTTATCGCGGGCCGGATGGGGTGAGGTTAGAATTGAAGGTGCGGGTAGGGGATGCTGATGGACTATTTTAAGGGAACGTGAAATTTGGCTTGGCCTAGAGCCGGCCGGGCGGGGATGGGGGAAGGGGGCTGCGGTGGAGAGTCCAGGCCTTGGCCCTGAGCTGGACCCTGGGCTTAGGGATTCTGGCAGAGCTGGAGAGGGTCCGGGCGTGGGCGTGGGCGTGGGGGTGGCGCGCGAGGTCCCTGTCAGAGCTGGGAGGAGGGGTCGGGTAACAACTTGTAGCCTTCCCTCCAGATAAACAGGGCTGCGGTGCGGAGGGAGGATTCCGATTGGGGTCAGGTTTCTTTGGAACGGTTCCCTGAGCCCGTTAGTTAGTTAGTGCACGTGGGCTGGGACCTCCCGGCCTTGGCTCTCAGTCTGCCTCTTAGGAATTGGTTTGGGTGTTTCTGGCCATGCCTGCCTCCCCTGGTCCTTCAGCACTAGACCTTCAGATTTCTGGCCATTTTTGTTCGTTGCCATGGTGGTCCCTTGTCAGCTTCTCCAGAAACAAATTTTGGCGAGAGAGATCGTCTAGCTCTCATGACATATTTTAAGGCATTGCATCGCCATAATTAGAGGCTTAGGAGGTTACGAGGCTCCCTGCTTGTCCAGATTGTACATCCTTCCCTATACCTTCTCACCAAGATGCTGGATTGGCTGAGAGATCAGTTGGAGAGAAGTGAGATCATGCTGCAGGTACAGACGTGTGTCTCTGTGCTCCCAAGGCCCTTGACCTTGTGGTCGATCCATCTAGGGGTGTCCTTCAACTTGATGCATGGGCTGCAGTGCCTGCACAGTCTTTGATGTACTGAGGCTGCTGTTTGTTGGTTTTTTCCCTCTTACAGAAATGGAGGGAATGTGTTTCCAAATAAACCTGTACGTTATCAGGTTAGTGGTACAAAAAAGATGTTAAATGAACGTTCGGTAATTGGCATATATTGTAAAGCATTGTTTATAATTTTGTAAATTTAAGGAATTGTAAAAAAAATCAGAGATTTATTTTTGTGAATATTTTTCTTGCACCCTTCCCCCCAAGGCTCATTAAGGATTCTGGCAAAGGAAGAAATACTAGAATAGCTTCGGCATTTGTCAAAAATGCATGTTCAATAAATGAAGGACTATTTTGCCCTTTGCCCATGTTCTTTTTACTTCTAAGATGGTGGCCTTTATTATAAAGCACAATGAGTTGATATACTACCAAAGCAGTGTCTTGTTCCCAACATAATTCGAAAAATTAAATGTGAATGAGTGGTGACATAAATAGGCACGAAAATGTTAGCACTTACTGTTTGTGATTTTACTATCTGTAATTCATAGCATTGTGTTCCAGTTCAAGCCAAAATTTTTGAATTCGTTTTTAAACTCATTTCCTCATTCTCCAGTAACCAATTCATCAGAAAAGCTACTCTCACTTGAAACAGGAGTTATCTCCACTGTTGCCACCGTAGTCCGAGCACCACCAACCCTCTCACTCCTACCTTTGCAGACTTCTTGTTTGACACTTTTCTTGACCTTCCATAATCCAATCGCTATTTAACACATCAGAAAGATCTTTGAGAAATGGAAAGTAATCGTGTTGCTGACCTGCTTAAATTCCTGGGGTACCTTTCCATCATATTTTTGAGAAAAGTCAGACTCCTTTTCTTTGCAACAGCAGGCGGCCTGCTTTTTTTCTTAAGTCCTCAAATTTGGTCCTGTCTTGAGGCTTTGGTGGTGTACTCCCTCTGCATCCCCCCACCCCCAGTTTTTAAAGTGTTGATTCACATTGTTCAGATCTTATGTCCTCCCAGAGGCCTGTCCTGACTGCCTAAAAGGAAGTTAGCCCTCAGTCATGCTCTGTATCCTCCTTCTTGTCATTTTAGCATTATACTTTGTCTCATCGTGTCCTCTTTACCTTATACCTGTCACTTGAATCAGCAGACCGTGAAAACTGTAAGACCAGGTGCTTCATCTGTATCGTTCCATGTTGTGGCCTCAGTGCACAGAAGTAGCGCCTTCTACCCACCAGGTATTCTGTACATGTTAATTGGGTTACGTGGAGCAGTGAACGGGACAGGCATGTCCCCTGTCCTGAGAATTGATGGGTTAGAGCAGAGTCAGCAAACCTTGCCACGAGGGACCAGATAGCAAATATTTTAGGTTAGCAGGCTGGATGGCCTCTGTTGCAGTTGTTTAGCTCTGCTGTTAAAGTAACGAAGAAGCCATGAACAGTACATGGGAGTGAGTTGACTTTACAGTGTTCCAATAAAACTTTATTTAGGAAAACATAAAGTGAGTGTCTGTTACCTGGTTTTCTGACTGCTGGTTTAAGCAGTCCTGTAGAGTGGGACTTGGTGCCATGATGCAGCTTTATTTTCCACAGTGCCTAGTTCAGTAGGCACTGGCCACACTTGCCTCTGAGCTCTTGGAACGCCCTGAAGATCTGATGTCTGGTGGCGTTTTGTTTGTTTTTCGTAGTGGTAGTAATAGTAGTAGTAGCAGTCCTGGGAATTGAACCCAAGGTTTCGCACTGAATTACATCCCTAACCCGTTTTAAGTCGGAGACAGGGTCTCACAAAATCCTTAAGTTGCCTAGGCCAGGCTTGAACTTGCAGTCCTCCTGCTTCAGCTTCTCAGAGTGCTGGGATGAAGCCACTTGTCACTACACCTGGCTAGGATTTATTAACATCTTCACCGAGGTGTAACTGATACACAGACTGCGCATACTTCGAGTATATAAGTATATAAATCTTTAAATTTTGATATAAGTGTAGTGCAAAACTATTTCCTTGGCAATCACTGTCCTAGTAACTGTAGGTTAACTGTGCATTTTCAGGTACAGATATAAATAGAACCATTCTTTCTTTTTGTCTAGCTTCTTTCATTCGATGTGTGTTTGGTATTCATCTAATCTGTTATGTGTATCAGTAGTGCCTATCATTGCTGAGTAGTAAAGGTTAAATATTCTTTATCTGAAATTTTTGAGATCAAAAGAGTTTTGAGTTTTGGAATTTTTTGGATTTTGAAATATATATGTGTAATGAGATGTCTCAAAGACGACATTGAAGTTAAACGTCAAAGACATTTATATTTCATATCACCTCACACACATAGCTATAAAGTAATTTGTGTAATATTTGTTTTATATAGCATGTTACATGAAATCTGGTGTAGAATTTCCCTCTTGTGAAATCATATTCATGCTTGAGGCACTTTGAATTTTGGATTTTCAGACTAGGAGTAGTCAACATGTGGACCACAATTTGTTTATTCATTCAGCTGTTAGTAAGCACTTGAATTATTTCCAATTTTTGACTATTTCAAGCGAAACCTTATTGAACACTCAAGTACTGTAAGCCTGCACGGACCTGTGCTTCCGTTTCTTTTTGATGTGTTGTAAAATTGGATTGTATTTTAGACATGCTTTTAACGTTTTAAGAGACTGTTCTGTTGCTCTTCTCCAAAGTGATTTTATATTCTGCTAGCTGTGTATGAGATTCCTATTTCTTAACATTCTTACCAACACTTGTTGTTAGGTCTTTTTTGGTCACAGTCATCTGGGTATAAAGTCGTGTCTAGCGGTTTTGTTTTACATCCATGTAATGATTGATGGCTGAGCCTCTTTCCTTGTGTTTGTCATCCATGTATCCTCTTTAGCAAAGTACTTATTTAAATATTTTCCAGTTTTGACTGGGCTATTTACTTTCTTTATAATTGACTTTTGATTTGCTGTGTTGTTTTCAGATGGTTGCCAGGTCTGTGATTTGTGAAATCTTCTCTGTGTCTTGTCTTTCTTTTCTTTATTAAAGTTTTGCGTATTTATTCAAGGATTACAAGTGTGTGCTACCATGTCTGGCTCCTTTCTAGTCTAATAACATCTTTCGAAGAAGAGAAGTTCTTCATTTTAGTAAAGTTTACCTTAGTTATCACTATTTGAATTTAAATATAAATAACCCTGTGTATTTAACGATTACTATATCAGACAGCACCGGTTCAGAGGAAGGGACAAAAGCAGTAATGAACCATGACAATTGCTGTTAAAGAAGCACAATGCTGGTGTAGATGAATATGGATGTGAAGTTGGACCACTGTGCCTTGGATTATTAAGTTAGGCCTTTAAAGTGACCCTTAACTCTTTTATCAGCGAAAAACAGTGTTTTATAAGTTATTTCAGGAAATGGAAACCATAGGTTTAAAGATTCTCAAGTAAATGTGTTTGAGGAACTAGTCTGTAAGTGCTATATAAAAAGTTAGTCTCTTTATTTTATAGCCACATTGATTATTTTAACCTCCAGGAGAATTACCTACCTGAATCACTTATCTTTACTTGCTAGTCAGACTGTCAGTTTTAAAAACTCAAACCCACTCTCAGATAACAAAGACTTTCCATCACTGAGGTTCTTTTAAAGAATATATAATATATATCTACAATACTGTCTAATTCCTATTATATTATATTCTAAAATATAACAGTAACATAAAAATAATACTTTAAATTCCTCTGGAATAATGTGTCCTTGGAGATATCCATATTTTAATGCAATGAAAATATGTCTTAGAATCATTTTACTTAGGGTTGATTTGTGTAAGATTCAAACACACTGACCCTTAAGTCTCACTTACAAATTGAAAAATCTTTAATAGTTGTGTGTTGGAATGGGAAAGAAAGATTTATAATATAGAAAGTCAGTCAAGAACAAATCATTTTAAAATAGCTCCAACAAATTACAATATCCCACTTGCTATTGTAAAGTCTTCATTCTTTTTTTTTTTTTTTCATTGTCTGCATCTAGCTCTATTTATAGCACTATGTAGTACACTCCAGGCACTGACTTTGACCATGTGTGTGTCTGGTACCGGGGTTTGAATGAAGCATCGGAGTGAGGAAGCTTTAA